GACCAGGAAAGACCTTCGCCTTCAACTGATAACTCCCACGTACAGAAAGTCGAAGATCTAGTACTTGCAAATCGCTGACTGAATGTTAAAGAAATTACAGAAGAGGTTAGCATCTCAATTGGGTCATGCCATGATATTTTGACTGAAAATTTGACCATGCATTGAGTGCAGCAAAATTTGTTCTTCGTTTGATGACTGAACAATAGAAAGAAAATCGTGTCGACTTTTGTCGGCAACTTCTTGAACTATAATAATATTCATTCAAAACTGGGTTTACGGCTACAATATTGAGACAAAAGTCCAATCATTATAGTGGATTGGCAAAGGATGCCCCAAGAAAGCGTCTGCACACTTAGTTTTGACAGTACGACAATTTTGTGCCAAAAATCAGATTACTGTCCTCCTTCACTAGCCAGACTTGGCTCCTTGCGATATAAATGTAAGCTCATTCGCTTATAATAAACAATACAGTTCCATTTTAACTACAGGGTGTTTCAGTTCGACTAAATCAAACTTTAGCCACAAATATAACTCAATAAATAATTAAGAATTGCCTTATAAAGCAAGGGTCTAAGGTTCACCGTTTTCACTGTACAGGGCCGCATTGATCGGTTCTTAAAATCATATTATTTATGAAATCTTTGCTATGCTTATAACAAATTGATTGAAATTTGGTGTGGTGTTAAGATTTGCATATGTGTATAATTTACATTAAAATTTACAAATTTGTGTAGGTCAGTGGCGTAGGAATGGGTAGTAAAGGGGGATTTTTTACTCCAACTTCTACGCCATTGACCTAATAATCATTTGGGATTCATTTTTAGATTCCGTGGACAATTCTACATAAAAAATGTATACTTGTTGAAAATCGGTATAGTGTATCGTTTTACCGAAAACAGCAGTTGAATGGGATACCGTTCTTCTGATAAGAAATTTAGTTTCTTAAGGATACGAAATAAATTTTAAATTAATATTATTATTATATGTCACGTATTATTACCTTAGAATTCAAAACAATATTAAATAATGTCTCTACATCGGCAAAACGACTAGTAAATTTTAAATATAACCCTTGTGTATAATTTATTGGATTCGTAATGTGGTGGTGGTTCCCTGAGGTTCTAAGTTCATTTTTTTCTTGCACTGCAGTGTGGTGGACAGCATGTTCAATGGCACCTTCTCTAAAATTACATTTGTGTCATTCTGAAGCAATTATAGGTACTCTCGTTCATTCAATGGTCCGTTTGTTTCAAACAGATATAGTTTCCTTAAAAAATTACATTTACATATTAATTTTCTTTAATCTGCGCTGTGCGTAGTATCCGTACACAATGATTGCCATGAATAAACAACTAAGCAATGATAGACTTATCTGTCATCAGGAACTGTCATTTTATTCTTAATATTTGAAATATTAGTTAGTGTTTGTAAAAAAATGAATGAATATTCAAAATTTTCTTATCATTCAATTGAGATTTTCGGTAAAACGATACCCTATACCGATTTTCAACAAGTACACCTTTTTTATGTAGAATTATCCACGGAATCTAAAAATGAACCCCAACTGACTATTAGGGCATTGGTGTAGATGTTGGGGTAAAAACATCCCGCTTTACTACCCATTCCTACGCCACTGACCTACAAAAATTTGTAAATTTTACAGTAAATTATGCAGATGTGCAAATGTTAGTTAACACAACACCAAATTTGAATCAATTTGTTATAAGCATACCAAAATTTCGTAAATAATATGATTTTAAAAACCGACCAATACGGTCCTGTACAGTGAAAACGGTGAGACTTAGACCCCTGCTTTATAAGGCAATTTTGAATTATTTATTAAGTTCTATTTGTGGTTAAAGTTTGTTTCACTCGAACAGAAACAGCCTGTATATTATTTATAAATAGGCTAAATAAGAAGGGACTAAGGACAGAACCTTGAGGCACTTCTGGATAATCAGGACGACCTTACATATTGTGAAATATGTTGCAATTAAGCTTCTTAGAAAAGCCAAAAGAACACAATTTACTTATTAATACAGCTGTAAACAACTTTTTCGAAGACTTTCTAAAAGTCTGTGAGAAATAAATTAATAAAAATATTTGTGAAATAGTTTGTATTAAATTTCTCATAGAATAATAAATGTATTATTTTGCATTAATAATTATTGCTTTACATGTACGTTTCAGTCTTGAGGTTGAACATTAATTGTTTTCAGTGTTACTTCCACTCCCACCTCTGCTTCACATTCATAGAAAAAATTGTTTGCATATTTATTGGTTGATTTAATGGTTGCAATTCGCTGTTTAGCGGATAATCAAGTTCAAATAAGCTGTCGGAAACGCTATTCCTTTCTTGAAACTAATTCAGTTGTATCGGTATTTTACCGGAGGTGGAATTTTAGACTTTAAAAACACTCGCTGAAAACGGGATTTTCCGCTCTAGTTCTGAGCGCGGCAAACAATCCACTTTCGAGAAGAAGTCCGTAACGACGTCTTGTGTTAAATAAGCGATAAAGTGTCTGGGAGCTTCGACATTTATCTCGGTAATGACTGTAAATACTGCTAAATGCCCAATAAAACTAAATCATTCGCCCTTCTTCGCGAAACAAGTACTCTCGGTAATTAATGACCTTTTCTCTTAAATTTATCGCAACGCAGAACGAACATAAAAAGGGACTCATAAGATGACTGATTTATTACATCATCCCGCGCAAATGATCAATAAGCTGGATCGTTATGGTGTATTAATTGATACTTCAGAAAATGAAAGAAGAGCAAAAGTAGCCGTATAGTCGACAGAAAAAGCTCCCTTTTTCTTTCTTTGGACAATTCAGGCTTAGAGAATAATTTGCTGTTGCTGACTCGTTCAAGATCCATAATTCTTCTTTTATTGTGTGGGCTGTAAAGAAATTCACTTAGTTAGAATTCCTAATTATATTATATTTACTATTCAATATGGTATATGTAGATAATATTCCATATCAGCGTTATAATTAAAGCAATGATTTGAATACAGGGTGTTTCTAAAATAGGGTTCCAAACTTCTGTTGCGTTTATAACTCATTAAAATAAGCCAAAAAGTTCCTATTAATATGTGCCCTAAAACGCACCCNTGTTATTTGAGTGTAACGTGTTTAAGTGTTAGTGAGATTCTTGAAATGTGCAATTTTCTGGAACAAAGATGCAATGTAAAATTTTACGTCAAACTGGGAAAAATTTTCACAGAAACGTTTCAGCTTTTGAATCAAGTATATGGAGATGATGCTCTGGATCGTACGCAATGTCACGTATGGTTTTCACGATTTAAAAGTGGTCGTCAGTCAATTGAAAATGATCCTCGACCAGGAAAGACCTTCGCCTTCAACTGATAACTCCCACGTACAGAAAGTCAAAGATCTAGTACTTGCAAATCGCTGACTGAATGTTAAAGAAATTACAGAAGAGGTTAGCATCTCA